TAATCAAGACCCACAAGCCAATAACCCAGCAAGACCCATCATTAGCTCAGTTGGGTCAATCCCTTATAAACTATCTAAATGGTCAGTTTCTTTACTAAATCCCCTAGTTGGCAACATTTCTAACTCCAATATCAAGAATAATATGGATCTGGTTGATAAACTCAATAACTTACACATTAATTATGATTTTAAACTGGTCAGCTTTGATGTAACGTCACTCTTTACAAAGGTCCCAGTTGATGATTTACTAGAGTTCCTCATAGATTCCCTGGATGATATTTCACTGCCCGTCTCGAAAGACGACTTCATCGAACTCATCAAACTATGTATTAAGGATTGCAAATTCGAATTCAATGGAGAATATTATGCTCAAAAATTTGGTATGGCAAATGGGTAATCCACTCTCACCTGTATTAAGCAACCTATATATGGAATTCTTTGAAAAGAAACTATTAAGTAATATTTTACCACCCTCAGCAGTCTGGTTTAGATATGTTGATGATGTACTGTATTATGTCTCTGGCCATGTAATGAGGACCTAAAAGCTTTCCTGCCACAGCTTAACAACTTAGCCCCCTCGATCAAATTCACTGTGGAATTAGAGCAAGACTGTAAATTGCCATTCCTAGACTGTCTGATACACAGAATAGGTAACACTTTTAAGTTCAGTATTTATAGAAAACCAACTAATGTGTGTTCATACATTCATTATTATTCTGCCCACCATAATAGAGTCAAACAGTCAGTATTTTCAACAATGTTTTTACGTGCCTTGAGAATTTGCAGAATTTGCGCGTGATCTAGGTATATGCTGATAACCACAAGGAAAGAAGAAAACACGAAGTTCCCAAGCGCTTTCGTGTAATTCACATCTTCAGGGGTGAGTACAGACTAGAGAGAGTAATACAAATCAAGGTGTATATATACAGAGGAGGGTGAGACCAGGTCCACAATGGTCAGGTATTAGGTAATGACCCTACTAATCTTTAAATAGCACACAACGGTTGGTGGTCAGGTCAAATGGTCAAGTGACCCGGCCTTCTCACCTGATCACAAATCTTCTTAATTACAAAATTGTCCAGCTTGTACATGCCGTTACTCAAATTCATGTTGAATGCTTCTGTATGTTTAATAAGACTAGATTCTATGATGTTCCTACTATCAATTGAATTACATGGTAATATTGAGGAGGCATTATCCCAGTCAATGCAATGCTTGTTATCCCTCAAATGAACAAACAGAGCATTGGATTCCTGGCCTGTCCTAACACTGTATTTGTGTTGTTTAATTCTAGTTGCAAGATCTTTACCTGTCTGGCCTAAGTAAAACATATTACATTCCTTGCAAGGAACTTTATAAATGCAACCACTTGTATTGTTGGGGGAGTTCTTCATTAACATTTGTTTAACAGTGCATGAGTTTTTAAATGCCACATTGACGTTCCAGGTTTTTAGTTGTGAAGGAATGTGTGAGAAATTTTTGTGAAATGATAATATTAAGATATTCTTATGGTCATGGGTGGGCTTGGGATCAGTTCTATAAAAAGTTGTCTTAGTAATGTTTAGGCATTTGTCTATGAAAGATCTAGGGTATTTGAGGTTGGAGCCAATATTATATATATATATATATTTGTATTCCCCATCGATGAATTCCGGACTGCAAATTCTCAAAGCACGTAAAAACATTGTTGAAAATATTGACTGTTTGACTTTATTATGGTGGGCAGAATAATAATGAATGTATGAACACACATTAGTTGGTTTTCTATAAATACTGAACTTAAAAGTGTTACCTATTCTGTGTATCAGACAGTCTAGGAATGGCAATTTACAGTCTTGCTCTAATTCCACAGTGAATTTGATCGAGGGGGCTAAGTTGTTAAGTTGTGGTAGGAAAGCTTTTAGGTCCTCATTACATGGCCAGAGACATAATACATCATCAACATATCTAAACCAGACTGCTGAGGGTGGTAAAATATTACTTGGGAACTTCGTGTTTTCTTCTTTCCTTGTGGTTATCAGCATATATATATATATATACACACATACATACATATACTACATATATATATATATATATATATATATATATATATATATATATATATATATATATATATATATATATATATATATATATATATATATATATATATATATATATATATATACATACAGTATTACCCCGCTTAACGCGCTTTCACTTAACGCGTTTTCGCATATACGCGGTGCCTTGCCAAAGCTGAACTTTCACTTAACGGATTTTTCCACAGCAACGCGGTGAGTGTCCGCTCGAGAGCTATTTTTAGATTCGCACCACCCCCCACCCTGCCTGACTGCCTGTTTTAGCTCATAAAATTCATACAAATTACCCAGCCAGAATATAGTTTACATTGCTGGAATTCTTATAATTTGGTGATCATTTTGAATATAAACAATATATTTTTTGCATTAAACATACAATTTTTAGATAAAATGTTTAATCTGAGTAAGTATGTTATCTTTTGTCCAAAATATATGACATTTATATTCAAAATATTCCTGGTCTTACAAGGAATCCAGCAATGTCAATTATATTATCCTAACTTTAATCTGAGGTATTATTTATTACTAAATGTTAAAAACTCTTGAATGGAGGATTGGTGGGGGGTGGGGGGTGGGTTGGGACTGACCGCACGGTTGGAAGAGGGGGGGAGGCAAGGTGGGGTACTTTGATTGACAGATAGTGTTGAAGAATATATTTTTTTTTTTATTAACTGTAGATATTTGTTTTAGCTCATAAAATTCATACAAATTATCCATCCAGAATATAATTTACATTGCTGGAATTCTTATAATTTGGTGATCATTTTGAATATAAACAACATATTTTTTGCATTAAACATACAATTTTTAGATAAAATGTTTAATCTGAGTAAGTATGTTATCTTTTGTGAAAAATATATGACATTTATATTCAAAATATTCCTGGTCTTACAAGGAATCCAGCAATGTCAATTATATTTTCCTAACTTTAGTTTGAGGTTATCCCACACATCTCCTTGGGACGGTTGGTGGGGGGTGGGGGGGGGAGGGAGGGACCGACCGACCATCTGTTAGCTGGCTGTGTACTGTAGTGTGAGAGGGGGAGGGAGTTGAGTCCATTATTTGAATGGACATTAACTTGGCGACTGTATTTCTCTTAAGTATTAATTGTGTGCATGTACCATCATAAAATTAAGATGTTATTTTTACTACAACATAGTTATTTGTCGTCAAAAAGTGGAGTTTGGGGGTCGGGCTGGGTTCTATTGGAATTAATCCCATATGTTCTGTTATTCACTTAACGGTTTTCACTTAACGCGGGACCCTCTGGGTTCAATTGACCGCGTTAAGTGGGGTACCACTGTATATATATATATATATATATATATATATATATATATATATATATATATATATATATATATATATATATATATATATATATATATATATATATATATATATATATATATATATATATATATATATATATATATATATATATATATATATATATATATATATATATATATATATATATATATATATATATATCTATATATATATAGGCTGATGGCCGCACAACAAGCTAATTCCCTGTACTGCATATATTATCAATATGTTAAACAAATGTTAAAATGACTAATAATTTTAATATAAAAAATGCAAAAATATTAAAGAATATAACTTTATTGATATTTACTCCACTGGAAATGAATTTAAACATAGAACATATTACTGAATTGGCAGACTAGCCCATCAGCTGATGCTCACAACAAAACATGATGTTTGTAAGGATTTTGTTAAAGTAATTTTTGTCATTAACCGAATTGAAGATTCTTATGGAAGGTAATTTGTTAACCAAAATTTTGTTAACCGAACCGTTCGTTAACCGAGAGACCACTGTATACAGTACGCCTGGAGAATTCGCTGATTTTGATTTCGCAGTCCTCTATTATTTGCGGATGACACCCTGGATGTACCCAAAAATCTCTGTGGGTAGTTTTAAAGTTGCCGCCATTTTTGCGGCCGGGACAGGGAGCCATTCGTTCTAGAGACAGTAATTTACTTAACCTGTATTGTATATATGTGTGTGTGTAGACACACATAGACCAGACAAGCACTGGAGCAGGATGAGATACATTCAGGAGCCAGTGCATGCCCAGTACTTGCCAACAGTGCGTAACACAGACGTGACCGATCGCCCAAGAGGCTAACGAGCCGATCAGTGGTGAAGAGGATAGAAGTAAAATTAAGAGGAACTGAAAAAAGATGGAAAGAAAATGTACATCAGTAACATTAATGTACCTTGTATGATGCCGCTTTTGAACCACTAAGAAAGTGATGCCAGGTGTGTAGTCAACTTCTGTTTCAGTACAAGCTGTTCGCATAGCTTTCAGCTCATATGACAATACTTCTTGAAACTGAGACTCACTAACTCCATCACGATACATAACAATTCTTTCGGGCTTATGTCCTTTTGTGTAAATGAAGAATGACCTTAACAAGTTTCTGTAATTTATAGAAAAGAATATTAAAGTGCAAAAATAAATACCTTTACCAGTAATTGAATCATCAAGTTTTTGTGAGGAAGATGGAAGTGCATAATAGAAGAAAAAACGTTTTTGTTCAAACCTCAGAATGCGAATTGATAGGTTATATAGTACTGAATATATAATAAAAATTTCTTACACATACTTGGTCATTTCCTTTAGATCTTGAATTATTTCCACACGATGTGGCTGAGGTCTCACTTCTACAGAAAATTTGGAGGCAAACCTATCATATGAGGCAACAACTGCAGCCATGGACGGGGATTCTCCATCTCCAGCTGATGGATGATTTACATCTGCACCCATAATCATAACAGGTCTTTCTAATATCTACAGAAAAAATAGAATAAAATAAATAGATAAATACTGTATTCAAGAACTACCACTTAAAACACTGTACAGCACTTTAATTTACTACTTGAAATTTTTCATAAAATCTCTAGAAATAGATTATCTTCATAAATAAACAATAAAAAAGGCTCGGAATATTGACATCATATTTACTGACAAAATGATTAGAGACAAGGAGGAAAGCGAGGTAGAAGTGTTTTTCCACATGTTGCACGTTTACCAAGTAAAAGTGCATCACCAACACTTGCACAAGGTGTCCATGGTACTGGAGTAGTGGCAATGATTTGAACTGCAAAATTTTCAAGGAAAAATGATGGTACAACACCACCATGAATGAACTCTTGTTTGTTTTCATCATTAACATGTTGTTGTACTTTTACTGGTTCTGGTAAAATAACAATTGTAAAAATAATTTCCATGATTCAAACTTACCATAGGCATTCCAGTTCTTGAAAGAACATTGTTAATACCACCCATCTTTGCATTGATCTTCAGGAGAATGTTTCCAAGTGTCTGTGGTTTAATTGCAGTCACATTTGTTGCTTGAACACACTGGCTCAATATACCAACTTCAGTGTCCCCTGTCCTCTTGATACGAGCTAAAATATAAAATAGTCACATTACAAAAACCCAGATCAATCAAGAAATGGGATCAATTCCACTACTGTATACCCAACAAAGTAAAATGACAAAATAAAAGACCTTTCATAAACCTTTGTACAAAGGATAACAGTATTGTACCAGTATCCCTTGGTATACGAAAATTCAATAATATGAATTTCCTATATTACTACCCCTCTTATATACAGTCAACCCTCGCTTTACGCGGTCCCACTTTACGCGTTTACGCGGGACCCTGCCGAACACATAATGCTCACTTTCCGCGGTGTGTGTACCCTTTTACGCGCAGGGCGGCGCGAGCAGGGAGCACACAAGGTCGCCCAGTCATCAAAACATTACCGAGTTCTTCACCCGCCACCCACCACAGCCGGCCCAAGTCAGTGATAGTGATAATGATAATGAGGATATGGACTTATATGGACTTTGAGGGGTTTGACAAAGAGGCCCTGCAAGCCTCTGTGGTGGATAGTGATACAATTGATACAAGTGAGGGCCAATAATCTCCCCTCTGCCTCGGAACCAACCCCCCATCCCCGTGTGCCCAGCCATCTTTTCTACTAATGTAAGTGTTAAAGAACCTAATATTATTGATATTTCTCTTAATTATTAATTGTGTGTGCATACCATCATAAAATTAAGAAGTTATTTTTACTACAACATAGGTATTGTATCTGAAAAAGTGGAGTTTGGGGGTCGGCCCGGTCTCTATTTCAATTAATCCCATATGTTATGTTGTTCACTTTACGCGGGCCGCCGTGGGTTCAATTGACCGCGTAAAGTGAGGGTTCACTGTATACGGATTTGGGTCCCGGCAAAAATTTAAATAGCGCACCCCTAGAGAATATTTATTTGTAAATACATAAGGTAGGAAAGTAACACAAGTAGGATAATGAGCTCACAAACTAGCATACAGTATACTGGAGATAGGCAAGTTATAAATCAGGAATTGGCATTCAATTAACAATTCATCAATACTGTATAGTACAGGTACCTGTACTTAGATCTTGCAGGGTTTTTGCCAAATGTTACTTGATATATTAAGTGCCATAAATTTTTGTCTGATAAGCAACAGACAGCTAGGGGTCAACCAAAAATGATGAGAGAGGCTGCTAGTGACCATGTATGGTAACTTTTAGAGCTGCCATCAGATATTCATAGCTATAGCATGCAATTGAGAAAAACAGTGATGGTGATAATAAAGATATCTTTATAATTATTTCATGTTCACATGCACATTTTAACCTTACTTTTTTTTATTTAATTAAGTTTTCATAATATAATAAAAAAAATTGTTTTAAGAAAATCTATTATCTACTCTGCTTGATAGAGACCAGAAATTAATGCTATGTCATATTCACCATAAAGATCACCTCCTCTTCCTAAGATAACTAATACCAATTGTAGGTTTGAGTATTCCTGCTTAAGCCTTGTAAAATCTTGCTCAGGACAGGGTGTCCGTACACCAAATGCAGCAACTGGCTCAGAAAATTTCATCCCTTTCTCATCAGCCATGTGAAGTAATTTGGTAATGAATGTCCTGCAAGTCAAAATATATGTTTAAAATAAGCACATAAGGTAGATATAAAAAAGGAACACGTGCGATACTTGCTTTACAAAATTCAAATGTTGGGTCCCTGGGATACACAACCCATGGAATTCAAGGGGTAACTATTAATTATCTGGGATCCAGCACAATATTGAAAAACAGAAGTAAGGTATAGACCCAGAAATCCAGTACCTTTGGGACCAAGACTGAACCACTTTTGAGGAATTTCCAGTTTACTGTGATATAAGCTTGTACAGGTAGTGGATTTCTCCCGTACAAACGCTGTTTGTCGCTGAGTAGCCGACCCCGCTAATTCCCCAGTGTATGCCTCGTGGTCTAGGTCAACCAGCGCCGCCCACGGAGCGGAGGTCAACTATCTACCCACGCCTACCTCCGCTATAAAAGACCTGACCTCGTGGTGACCTGTCTCTTCTTCTAGCTACAGCCGCAGCAAGCAACACTACCTCCTCCTCCGCCGCTGCCTGGCGGTCCTCGCTCCCGCCGGCGAGCATGGCGACCCACAAGCTGTCCTCCTCTGAGACCCACAAGCTGTCCTCCTCTGAGCATCCTCACCAACCAGCTCTCTCTACATCACGCTTGTAACCATGCTGCCTTCCAGCACCAAGCTGCATTGTACATCCAATACAACATGTATACAGAGAGCACATTGTGAGTTTCTTTTCTCCATCCCATCCTGAGTGTGAACCCAAACAACTCATACCCCACAAGCTCATCCATGTTACCTCAGACCTACTGGTAGACTATGTCACATTTTGTTTCCACAAACTTGGTTGAATGTTTTGTTTTACCCCTTAAATAACAAAGTAAAGAAAACCCCCTGTTGTGTGCATACTTTAGATAAGGAAAAACATTAAATGTATCTAGTCAAATGCTGGGCAAGAGTAGTTCTGTGTGTAAGCTGCTGTAGTACCAAACACACTCAATCTAAGTGGAAATTGTAGTTTCTGATCTCCCTTAAGGGTTGCACTATAAATGAATCTTCTTGGATTACACCCACCGATAAAAGAAGATGAATACTGTACTTTGAATCTCAAAACTTACTCAGTACTTCGTTGGTCAACAAATCTTGGATTGTAATTCATCACCACCCATGTGTTTATATCTGCTCCTCTGTAAAATAATCTCCTCCTAGCATCCCATACTCCTTCTCTTGGTTGAACTGGTGCATCCATCAACAATTCAGGTGCAGGTAAAATTCTGCCTTCCATGTGTAATGGCTGATTCAAAGAAATATGAAAAAAATTTAATATATACAGTAAAGGTCCAATAGTCCAGCATCCAATGGTCCGGAAAGCCCACTGTTAATTTTACTGTACCATAAGAAATCATTGTTAAAAGATTGGTAGGCTTTACTGACAATAAATACCAGGAACATTATTACACTATCATATGTTGTTATACTTTTTAACTGCATATTACATCAATAATTTGACTTTAGTAGGTAGCTACCAAACAGGGAAGTACTACCACTTGGGAAGATATTGGAAGCATAATGTAATGTCTAATGGTAGACCCTGCTGCCATATGGCATCACAAAAATTGTGACCAAGTCCCAGGTTGCTGATCTGACTTTCTGCCTCATTTACACACAATTGCAGGGTCTCAATTGTTTCTCTTACTATTGACAACACAACATACATACAGTATATTGTTTCTCACTTTTGATCTTTTTTTTTCATTTTTGGATTTTTTATGGGTGTATATTATTAGTAGTAGTATTAGTGTTGTTATTATTATTATTGCTATCATTCTTATTTTATTATTTTATTTT